CAAAAACCCAACAGGAGACAGTATCTCCACATAAAGTAATAGTAATTCATCCATTTTAGAACGGAGTAACATCTCTTTAGTAGTGTTACTGGTACAAAAGAAAGACACAAGTTTAAACTATGATACAACATAGAAAAAAGGGTCAACAGTTAGGGTCTTTGAAAGTATCTCTTAGGTTTAACAAAGACCAACTTTTGTAAACTGAATCTCTAATTCAAATACATCTTCATTATTCCAAAAAGGTGACTGACCAACTGATGCTATCCAGGACAGCAGAAGCCCAACCACCAACGTGGAGGATACATTGCCTCACAAAGGAGCAAGTTTACCTCAAAGACGGGAAGGAAGCAGAAATAGACTGCAATATATACACAATTACGAGGCATTTTAAAATTCGATGTTGTCAACTTTTTGCCCTGAGTTGGGTGCTTTTTATAATCTCTGGAGAAACAGGTGCATTCCATTGTTCCAAGTTGTGCCTATAAATGCTATTGTTCCAGCAGCAGGAACAGTATTTTTGTTCAAGACACTGTCAAAGTCAGATAAGCTAGGCTAATAAGAGGACTTCATGGACAGACAGACAAATGTAGATAAATAATAGAAAACCATTCCTTCAAACACTGTTTCCTTCACAAACTATTCAGAATGTCCCTGCGTTTTTTGGCAGACACTATGTGTGTTTCCACATGTCCAGTAGGTCTTACTGCAATACACTGAAGTTCTGCCTTTCAAGGTTCTCCTATCAGTAGCATGCCCGTTGCACGGGTAGCTCTTCAAGAAGCCATTGGACAATACATTAAAGGAGGATTTATTAAAGGCAGCTGGGAGAAGGAAGTTTCTGAGGGCCCCAATGTGTTCGAGTCAGAACGGCTCAAGGATCAAGGCAAGAAAACAGTAAATATTTCAGAATTTCTGCCTCAGATCACACTAATTTGACTACATGCATGGAAGATGGACTAGCTGTCTGTTCCAGAAATGTGAGTCGTTCCTGTGCTGGCTCAATGATCTCACCTCCAAGATTACATTTCATCTCACAGTTAAGCAGCTATTTATTAAACTACCTAGTGATACTACTAGAGCTTAAAATAAGAGGCCCGCAGTTATATAAATCATGATCACATAAGCTCATGAAGTATACACTTTCTTGACAAATAGAGCAATGCATTTAGAAAACTATACTTAAAGTATATGAATAATAATAAAGGTGATCATGATAGAACAGCACACACACCAAATAGGAAGTCCCATATTAAGTATTCTGGGTAAGGGCCACATAGAATCACTATCCAGATGTGTCACATATATTGAATTCCTTACCAGGAAAATTTAATTTCAGCTCTATTCCACCACACCACTGCGCCAGCAGGAAATTCAGCCCCAGTGGTTCTGGAGTTCCACCTTCTCCTTACTGATCTTCCCAGGCTACCTATCTTTCAGTTCTACTTACTGCTGCTTCTGTGCCAGACTTGCTTTGGGGATGTCACCTGCCCCCGGCCTAGGATCTCACTTCCCTGAAATTTCCTGTGGTCCTCCATACCCTTAGAGTTCTTCTGTGCAATGGGGCTCAGTTCTTCCTGGGATCCGGAATCCCTGGACTCTCCCACGCTTGCAATATAGGTTTAGGGGAAAAAAAATCACCTACCGTTCTTATTGATTGAGATGCATTGTATACAAAAATAATCATGTCACAATGAAATCCCCTGTACAACTAATTGATACTAATAAAAATTATAGGTCAGTAAAAATAAAACAACAATCTATCTCACCATGGAGAGTAAGTACCGTGCAGATTCTGATTTATTATTCTTGCTCTAGTCATGGAATTGTCTTCATTTTGATTCTATCTGGTCAACAAGTATGGGTGATCAGTTTCTTTTGAGAATGTCCCTATTTTTTTTTGCCAGTCCAGGTGCAGAAAATCAGGAGCTGCACACTGTCCCTGAGTCTCTTTGTACTCAAGGCTAGCACTTTACCACTTGAGTCACAGTACCACTTCTGCAGGTTTTTTTTTTTTAGAAGTTTATTGGAGATAGGAGTCTCACAGACTTTCCTGCCCCAGTTGGCACAATCCTCAGATCTCAGCCTCCTGAGTAGCTAAGATTATGGCATGAGCCTCCAGCATGTGGCTGTCACTACTTTTTTTTTTTTTCTGTCAGTCATGGGCTTGGGCCCTGTCCCTCAGCTCTTTAGCTCAAAGTGAGCGCTCTACCGCTTGAGCCACAGCACCACTTCCGGTTTTTTAGTGGTTTTATTGGAGATAAGAGTGTCACAGACTTTCCTGCCTGGGCTGGTTTTAAACTGTGATCCTCAGATCTCAGCCTCCTGAGTAGTTAGGATTACAGGCGTGAGCCACCGGCGCCCGGCTTTGTCACTACTTTTTTAATGACACCAACCTAGATCTTTTGGCAGCATGGATGTCTTCTTGAGAAGTTTTATCTACTCTATGGCGAAATGCTAAGTGGAACTGGTGACATGGTCATTTACTGCCTCAGTAACATATAGTACAAACTGCATGACATGTAGAGGTCTGAAAGCTAGCTTTCTCATCTCCAGATTGAGGAAGACAGCCATCACTGAAACTATTTTATAAAGTGTCAGACAATTGCTAGATACTTTTGCATATTATTTAATACAATCTTTGTAACACTTCATACAAATGTTCTGTTTGAAAGCAATACCTTTTACAGAAGTAAAACTGCTCAAGGTGATAAAATAATGGGGTTAAGATTTTGAAGCAGGACTGAGTTTATAACCATTCACAGCCATGTCCTGTGGATGCCTAAGTAGCCTCTATCTCCTCAGTTCTCCCATTTGGGACACAAGATGAGTCAAGACCCAGATGGAAATAAAATTTGGGTGTTTCTGAGGACATTCTATCACTTTGTATCTTTAGCAATGTCCCCTTATTTCTTGTACCCCATGCTCACAGGATACTTCCTGTTTTCCTTCCAAAAACCAATTACTTCCTGCCTTAGATAGGAACAATTCTCAGTAGGGAATTACTCCTACATTCATTCACATGTGCTTTTTGAGTAGCTACTAACTTCACAGTAGTGTTTTTCAGCATGAGGAATGGAGTGGTGGAGAGCCACCTTCTTTTTCAACCTTGTTTTGTTATCCTTAGGCAGTTGTGCAGAGGGCCTTCATTTCAATATGTCTGTTTATGAGTACAATGCACCTGGATCAATGTCACGTCTCCCCTCATCCTCTCCATCTCTGCAGTATTTCTCATTTTTTCTGCTTTCTAATCCACATCTGTAGTGTTCCTTTTAAGATACTTGAACTAAATTCAACAAATGAAAGGGTTACTATCTTTTCCCCCATATTCTCCCTTTTTGCAAATCCTAGAGCCACATCTTATAGCAAATTCAATACATATTCTTTCCCCCAAGGTCAAAAGCAAGGGAGTAAAGGAATGAGTGAGTGAGCAACTATCATATTGCTAGAATTAGTAACTCTGCCTCATCTGATCATCAGCAAAGCCTAAGGAGGCAAAGGTTGACATTCTCCTTTCAATTAGGCACCTGGGAGTCCTGGAGCTCTAACTATAGACCTTGTAAAAAGTCAGAGTTTGGAAGTGAAATTCCAGAAACAGTGTGGAGAATCTCCTTTTGCCCTACTTGAGAAGGGAATTTGTCCCCTGGAGTCCTGGCCTCAGGAAAATGCCAGGAAGTAACCAGTATTTCCCAGGCCAGGGATGTGGGTCAGAGCCATGATTACATTATTACCCACTACCATCCACCTGTTGTTCATACAAATCAAACGGTGTGTAACCCAAAGGCTGCAGAGTTGAACTTTTCCCTGCCCAACTGCCCCACAGCTTGGATTTCTGCTTCTGGAGTTCAAATAATATTGACCAAGAGGTATATTCTATGCAAATAGGACAGGTAGGTGGGGGGGGGGAAGAAGGCTGGGTTCGGAGGTCACAGGGGGAGAAGAGGATGGAGAATTTCTCTCACCCAGCTGTAAAGCATTTACCCTCATGTGGACAACTCCAGGCAATTTGGGAGGTGGGGAACTTTTTTTTTCAATTCTCTATAGGTAATCAGGTAGGATGGGATTTCTGCTCTGATAACTATAGCTCTCAAATTAGGCTACCATTAGGCTTGGAATATGTACGCTTCGTGCAACAAACTTCAACTTGCTTAATGTGACAACCCTAGATCACAATTCTCTTTTGAGCTAGATTCAACTTAGAGAAGACTCATCTATTCTAGCAAAAATAACTTACACAATCTTTTACATTTTACTTTAAAAACAAGCTTAGCAGCTATAAACATATATGAATATAGATACAGGGTCATACACATTTGACTAAAGTATGGAACACAGGAGAGGACTCAATAGACTCACAGTTTAACAAAATGAATACCAGGATGCTGGAACACATTTTGTCCTTGGGGAGGGGCAAAGAGAGGAGAGTAGACAACGAGGAGAGAAAAGGTAGGAGAGTGCAGTCATAATATTCAATGTACATATGTGAAAATGGAATGAGGAAAATTGAGGGGAAGGGAGGGGCCGGAAGAGATGGGGAAGAATAATGAAATGTGACTGTGATCAAGATGCATTGTACTCATAAACTGACATGTTAGACTGGAACCCTTTTGTACCACTAACTCCTGAAAGATAACAAAATAGATTTGACTTACAATGGAGATGAGAAAAGTATTTGAAAATACTAAACTGTTTAAAAATACGCTTTTAGTTGTCTTTATATTTTAGATGCTTTGTGTTTTGTTTGTTTTGCTTTACAAGGGCTTATTTTGTAGAGCAGGTAGAAGTGGAAACGTATCATTTTGAAGAAATATACTCCAAGATGTGTAGGTCAGTGATAGGTTAGAGGCTAACTTGTGAGTTGAGTAAAGTCATGATTTTATTCACATGGTTTCTGAGATAAATCAAAGGATGATATCAACAGTGAGTCACCCAAAGAATTTCATGTTCACAGATCCTGGACCCAGGGTTATATAAAGAGGGACATTTGAGGAACTTGTGCTGAGCAGGAGCAGAGTTAACTGAACTGAGCGTCTGGAGGGAGACATTCACAATGAAGCTTCTTCTACTGATTTTGTTCCTGCAGGTTGCTGCCTCTGGAGCTGCTCCTCTTGCTAGTGTGGAGGAGCAGGTGGTGGCATTTGCTAAAGTAAGTACTGACAGATACTGACAGATCAAGCCTAGTTTGTCTCTAAGATCTGTTGTATTTGCTAGTTTTATTTGTGAAAAGTACTACTTGGAGACTGGCTGCTTGGGGTTTGCTTTCCACATCCATTTTTTCTTTGCTATAGAAGAATTTAAAAAGAAAGTATTGGTTTGAAAAGAGTGTTATGAAAGGTGATAGTTGCTCTTTCCACTAAAAAGCTCTGGCTAAGGAATTTTAGCATGATATAATTAGAATTCACTTTAGTTACAGTATTTTATGTTAGTTATGGAATGCCAGTTAATAATCTGAGATTTCAAAAATGGCCTGACCTATTTACCCTCTTCAGGCTACTGTGATGCTTTCAGCCTAATCTATCATTTATCCCAAATATTTCTTCATAAGCATTTTAAAAATCAATTTTTCCATTTGTAGTTTATCTTTCATTAAAAGAGTTGGATCTAGTTTCTAAATCATTGCTGTTTTGGATATCTTTGCTCAGGATGTCCTGAACTTGTGAGCTCAAGTGATCTTTCCCTCTCAGCCTCCTGAGGATGCACTTGTTTTCTAAAATTAGTTTGCATCTTTTTGTCAATGGTTGGGATTGATCCCAGTGCTGCTAGCACAACAGGCAAGTGCTCTATCACTCAACTACAACCCCAGTCAATTAATGTTTTTACCCCAACTTAAATGAACAACTTACATACTTCACATGAAAGAGTTTGCCACTTTCTGATAGTTACAGTATGCCAGGTGCTAAAACAGCTCTTTGAAAGTAGAAACAAGCTTGAAGAAATAGAAACTCAACAGTTTTTTCCTCTGTGCTTCTAGGAACAAACTTAAGTAATAAATTATGACATATTTCTGAGAGCATAGAAAATTAAGAATGTTTCCTAGTTACAATTAATTGCCTGAATATAATAATAATCTAATCTTCAATTCAAATACCTGGTTCAAAAACCTCTGTGTAAAGTTGATTCACATATACAGAATTGCCAACAGCAACTTCTCTGATAAAATTCTGCACAATTGAATGTATTTTTTTTCAGAAATACTTGATAGACTTTTATAGCTACAAGATAGAGGACATTCCAACAACAAAAATGGAAATCAGTAGAAACTTCCTAGAGGAAAAAATCCAGGAAATGCAGAAGTTCTTTGGGCTGAAAGTGACAGGGCAACTGGACTCAGCTACTCTGGAAATGATGCATACACCTCGATGTGGAGTGCCTGACGTTTACGATTTCAGAACGCTGCCACGCCGGCCAGTATGGAACAAACACCATCTCACCTACAGGTAACGCAGGTGGAGGGAGGCTTGTGCTTCCTACCTCCCCATGGGCCTGGCTCCCAGAAACCTGAGCCTTGTAGACATGCTACAACCCAAATCTAGAAGTACTAGATCAGGGGCTTCATTTCACTGTCAACACTACTCTGTGTTACAATCCATTACCTAGAGCAGGGAAGAAGGTTACTTAAGGAAGAGTTTCAACCCTCTGGTTTACAAATCAGTGCAGAACAGAGCAGAAAAGTTACAGATAATCTAGGCATGAAGGAGAGAGAGAGAGAGACAGAGAGAGAGAGAGAGACTGAATAGTGGGGTTGGATCAACATAGATGTCTGTGAGCAGGAGCAAAAGGTGTGGTATCTATCCAAGTAAATCCTTTATAATTCAATTTTATTTTTGTTAAGAAGACAGTTATCCAAGCAAAAATGTTTGCATATAAAGAAGCAAGTCCTAATCTGTAATCTAGATTAGAATGGTTTTTGAATCACCTTCTAGTAATGGTAGCAAACATAGAAAGATTTTGGTATGATAAAACTGACATGTGGTTTCTGTATGTTTTCCTCTCTTTCTGATAAAGAATACATAACTACACCCCTGACCTGAAGAATGAGGATGTTGATTATGCCATTGAGAAAGCTTTTCAAGTGTGGAGTGATGTGACACCCTTGAAATTCAAAAAGACATATGCAGGCGACGCTGACATTGTGATACTTTTTGCACACAGGGGTAAAGAACTTGGACTCCCTCTGTATCATGTGTGATTCTGTGGCATACATATAGGACTGATTTTCTTTCCCTTTTTGAACAGAACATGGTGACTTCAGTTCTTTTGATGGGAGAGGTGGGATCTTGGCTCACGCTTATGGACCAGGCTCTGGTATTGGAGGAGATGCACATTTTGATGAGGCAGAAATATGGAGTGACAACTTCAAAGGTAAGGGGAAAGACACTAAGCAAACAAAGACTAAATGTAACAAATATTTTTCCTGATTTTCAAAGACTCTGACAAGAAAGCATTATATGGCCTGTTCTGATTAAACCTTTTCAAAATCAAATTGAATACTTTACATGAGTCCATATTTCATTTCCCCAAAACTGAGGCCATTGGATTAGACTATCTTAAGGATCGACTACAAGAATATAAAAAGATTCTAGGAGCAAGTTCCTTAGTATTAATCCATGGAAAGGTAAAATCCATTAGTTAGATGTGATGGTAAAATCAATAAACTCAAAAGCAAACACAAACACTAATTCTGTGCTTTAACAACAGATAGAAAAAGGTGAATAAAGAAGAATAAAGGGACCATTGTTGATCTCATTTTATATGCTGGCAATTTCTTAGGTTCACAGTTAAAGTTGTAGCAAATTTAGATGCCTATGGAAAAACACAAGAATATGTATATATATATATATATATATACACACATATGAAAGTTAATCTCAAAAGGTAGAGATATAATAATTATGAGAGTGGAGACAGTGGAGGGGTTCTGGAGGCTGATCAACAGCTATTTAGGAACAAGAAGTTCTGGTGTTCTCCTACACAGTAGAGTGACTATAGTCAACAATCATGTCCCATATACTTCAGAAAGCTAGAAAAAGGATTCTGCATATTTTCATCACAATAAGATAACAAATATTTGAAGAGATAAATATATTTGCCCTGATTTGAACATTGCCAGATGCACATATGTATCTAAAATCACTTGGTCTATACAACTTGATGTGTCAGAAAATGATGGCCATGTACATCACCCCTCTTTGGTGGGTTTCCTCTTAGGCACAAACTTGTTCCTTGTTGCTGTTCACGAGCTTGGTCATTCCCTGGGACTCGACCATTCCAATGACCCAGAGGCAATAATGTTTCCTACCTACAGTTACCGTGACCCTAAGACATTTCGCCTCTCTGCTGATGATAAACGTGGCATACAGTCCCTCTACGGTAAGTTGAACATTGTCATTTTTCTGTCTTAAAGTTCCTCTTAACAATGGTCTAATACATCTATCTACATTTGGATTGAGCTCTGTCATTTCTTTTGAGCTCCATAACAACCTTGAAAGGTAGGTGTGCAGATATTATGTTCATTTTACAAATTGGAGATCTCGCACAAGCCTTTAGATTGGAGCTTTTTCTACCCTCGATAACCCTACTGAAGATGACACATAGAGAAAAATCTAATGGGAAAAGGGAAATCAAAGTAATCAGAAATACTTTCCCCCATGAGGTTGCAACCATGTGGGAAAATCCTGAATGGATTCAAGATTTTTATGAAATGTATCAACTTAAATTGGCTTTGATGCATTTTCCGTCAAGAAAATAGAATACTTTTAAAAGAATGGTTCTTCCTCTTGTGACCAAAAGTGCTAACTTTTCCCAAATGCTTCTTGAAATATATTTTCAGGAGTTCCACTGACGTACCAACCCAAGCCAAGCCCTGAAAGTCAAGTACCAGATGCCTGTGACCCCAACTTGAGTTTTGATGCTGTCACTACAATGGGAGATAAAATCCTTTTCTTTAAAGACTGGTATGAGCATTCTCATTTCTAACAATATTAGTGGTTTTGTCCTTAGAATTCTTTTTTTTTTATGTCAGAGAATACTCAGCCAGGATCTTTCTGGTCTCAACTTCCCAGGTATCTAGGATCACAGGTCAAAGGCTCTGGTGCCCTACAAGCATCGTAACAAGCTTTAACTTTAAATGTCTTTCACATCAGGTTCTTCTGGTGGAAGCGTCCTGAGCGATCAGCCACTGGTGTTAGTTCAATTCATTCCATGTGGCCGTCCTTGCCAGCCGGCATTCAAGCTGCTTATGAAATTAAAGCCCAAAACCAGATTTTTCTTTTTAAAGGTAACTTCAATGTTTACTTCTGCCATCAAGTATACTTTAAAGAGAAGGAAACAATAAGAAAGTATTATTACTTTCATGAAGTAGACAGGAGTATTCCACATTTTCTTCAGGGTAGCTCTGAACTATAAGCTAATATTGCTTTAACTAGTTGCCCAGGAAATATCTGCACCTCTTGGGGAGCTACAAATGTTTCTAAAATATAAAATGTTTCTAAAATATATGTATGGAGAAAAAACATGGAATCATAGAACATAAAATAAACCACACTGAAGAACTATAGGGAGGGAGTGCGGGTCTGTGGTAAAGTATATTCCTACTGTACACCAGGCTCTATATTTGAGTCCCAGAATTGGGAGAAAAAAAAAACAGAACAATTAATATTTTAGAGCTTGGAAAGAAATGCATTAAGTCTGTATTTTTGTTCCTGTTTCTATGAAATTCAAATATATCCTTTTTCTTCTTTGCCTTGTAGATGACAAGTTCTGGTTAATAAACAATTTAAGACCACAGCTAAACTATCCCAAGAGTATATATTCTCTGGGCTTTCCCAATTCTGTGAAAAAAATTGATGCAGCTCTCTTCAACCCACTTTACTATAAAGTCTACTTCTTTGTGGGTAACCAGTATTGGAGGTGAGATTTAATGGTCCAGGGTTGTTCCCCAGGATTTGTTGGTAAAACAGCCATAGAACAAAGTGCTCCACAAGATAGTTTTCCTTTGTAAGTTCTCAGGTTCCTGAAAGAGAGATCAAGGGAATGAAGAGCAGAAAGTTGTTGTCAACCTACATCTTTTCTCTATGCCTCTGGTTTCTGTTGTAAGAAATAGTATATAATCTCATTTAGAAAGAAAGCTCTTTAAATAAAATGCCATATTACAAAGCAGTAGACATATTGAGAACATGTTCTAGATCTCTAAGGCCTGGTATTTAGTTTATGGCCATCTTAGAGGATGTATAGATTTCTAGAGTTCTTCCCATAATCACTGGAATCCAAAGACAAAATGAGTGACCTAGAGATCAGATAGTCAGGCCATTCCGGGAGCTCCTCTGAATGATTTTGTCTCAAGTATCTAATTCCAAAGTGGGCTAGGACCCTCTCTTTAGTTAGTTTCCAGATTGCTTGCATGGTGGACATACTGCCTAATAAAATCTTTGACGATTACATTGTTACCCCATTTACTCTTGAACATTTTAAATTCAACATCTACTTTCAGTTGAATACTACAAGCTTGTCAACCAAGTTCAGTCTTATTTGAAAAGGAGAACTATTTATTTTAGCAAAGAGAACTTTTTAAAGAGCTCACGAATTGGTGTCATTTGTCATAGCTTGCGATTGCTAACATTAGCCGTTCAACTCTGACCAGTGGCTCTATTTACTTTGATGCTGCCTAGCCACTCAAGGTTTTTCTATTCTTCTCCTCAAAACAGTGAAACTTCCCCCTTTCCCCACTCTTTCCAGGATCAGGAAATCATGAGCAACCAATAAATTCTTAGAGAATTAAATTGCACAAAACTAAGATAACAGGTACTTTTGATTGCCACATCCAAGTCTAGAGTGAGATGACACTGTTTACTCACTGGTGAAATAGAATTTGGAAATATCACCTGATTATATGGGCCAGCTATGACAGGATTAACTTTCAATGTCTCTCTAATATCTGTCTTTAAAATCTTTTAGTTCCATGGCTCTAAAACTATTCCCTTCTGTTATCCTCTGGACAAAATCATTGTTGTTGTCTTAGTAGAAAGCTCTGAAAGGAAGGCAATGACAGGCAATTAAATCATTGGAGCATGGGGAGGGGTCTGGAGCCAGTGCTGGGAGAGGCTCTGCGGGACGGTGGGGATGGGGAAAGACCTCACTAAGTTAGGGAGCCGACATGCTGAGTCCTGTGGGGTTGTAGAGTAATCTGTGTTTTAGTGTTTGATTTTCCTCGTTGGCACAGTTAAAGGCCTTTTAGGAGAGGATATGCATTTGTGGATAACGTCATAAAATCCATTTCCTGGTTTTCTTGCACAGGTATGATGTGCGTAGACAGCTCATGGACCCCACTTATCCCAAGTTAATTAGCAAATACTTCCCCGGGATCAAAAATGAGATTGATGCAGTCTTCTATTTCAAAAGTAAGTGGATTCAGAAAGTATAGATACCCATTTTAAAACACTACCAGGAACAGAGAATGGATTTCCCCATTGGAAAGAGATGGGGGGGAGCTCAATTCCCACAGGTTCATAGAGGGAAAACTCACAGTGTGCAGGGCTCAGGATAGACAACAAAGAAGACTGAGCAAGGTGGGTGGTGCTACCCATGGTGCCTTTCCTATGGTGGTCTGGAAGGAGGGGGAATAGAATTGTTGCTACCTCCTCTGACCGAATTCTGGAGTTTTCTGTGACCTCTTGGAGTCATGTGTCCAGTAAGCCAAAGGCACCTAAGACTCAGGCAAGCCTGGACTCAAGTACTTCTTGCACCTAGCATTCTGTGCCTTCCTTCAGCCCCTTCTACCCTCACAGAAGCTCACTGCAAGATATAGAAACTGCATCCAAATCGGGACTGAGGATGAGATGAGAGAAGCTTGATAATATGCTAGAAATACCTTCAAGCTTGGCCTAAGCACAAGTGTTCAACAGACCAAGATTCTCAAGGCCTTCCCTGTCTCAGTTCCTGTCTTTAGGGCCCTGTTTACCCTTCCCTGGGCCCCTTACCCTCTGGTTGTGTATAGATGCGGGGGCAGGATACGCACATGGCTACAGGTGCCTAACATCTGTGTTCTCAGATCACAGCGCATGTGGTCTAGTAATCCACAGCAACAGATTTAAAGAAAAAGAAGAAGAAATACCAAGGGGAAATTAATTTTTTTTCCTTTTAGGACACTACTATTTCTTCCAAGGACCTAATCAATTTGAATATGATGTCCAACTGCATCGAATCACCAAAAGGCTGAAAAGCAATAGCTGGTTTGGATGTTAGGAATGATGTTTGTCAACTTAACTTCAGTTTAACAAGTATTTATTGCATATTTACAATGTGCTCAGGGTACCTATTGCATTATTATGTATATCATAAAACAACGTAATAGCTTAAATTGATTGCATAGTTGAATAATTACATAAAATACAAACCAGTATTTTCCATTTTTGTTTGGTTCTGTTATTAAGTTTGAAAACTTCTCTTTAAAGGAGAACTTTCTATAAAAGAGGTCACTCTAAACCTTAGTTCCTACCAAACTTGATTGACTAGATAGAATAATTACTTCTCTGGCTAAATTAAAGTTAAATATGTATGTTTTTCTTGTGCTCAAGTGAAAATGTGGTCTCTTTTTAAAATTTGGGATGAAAAGTTTGGATGCAGTTTCTATATCTTGCAGACTACTGAAGTGATTCCTCTCCCAATGTCCTCCCAACGCACGCCTGGCCCTTGGGCCCTCCTCTTCCTTGTTCTCAGGCGGGCTTCAATTCTCTCTCTCTCTCTCTCTCTCTGTGTGTGTTTGTGTGTGTGTGTGTGTGTGTGTGTGTGTGTGTGTGTGTCTGTGTCTGTGTGTGTGTTGGCACAGATGAACTAGGAAAGCCCAAAAGATTCCCATTTTATTCTTCAAGTCAGGCAATGCATTGAAAAGTACTAGACTTTATTGTCATTCCATTATAAAAGGGGCCTCCTGGAGATATCATCTGTTAAACTGCAGGAAGGGAAAGTGTGGCTTCGCTCTTGCTATGGCAGATATTCTAGGCAGTGGCTGGTGATACAAAGTCTAGGAAATTGATAACCTAGAAAATCTTCTCCTTTTCAAGATCAGTATGTGATCTTGAACAAGTCAGCTGATCTCTTTGAAGGTGAAGGAAAGTAATTCTCTCTCTTAGGTCTGTTCTGAGATTAACATATGGAGCCAATGACACACTCTAGGCTTTCCCCTGAAGCCTATTTCTCCCCAGCCTAACTTCCCCTTGGCCTGTAATCCCCCAGATGTTCTGTACTCCTCCTCAGCAGATGTGTCCATACTCCAGAAACGACTCTGACGTGTGGGCAAGATAGAGAGCCCACAGGGTTCTCTGGCCAGTTGTTCCATCCTTTCTTCAATGTATACTACTATAAGCCATCCAAAGTTAGAAATACTGTTATTGCTGATACCTGTTATAAACATTGTTTAATATTTGTCAAAGTTTCCATATTTCTGTCATACATGTCACACTCATAAGAATTTTTATTTCCCAGTTGTTTTCAAAGAAAAAAAGTGATTTAAGCTGGGGGCAGGTAGCTCACACCTGTAGTCCTAGCTACTTAGGAGGCTGAGATATAAGGGTCGAGGTTCAAAGCCAGCCTGGGCAGGAAAGTCTGTGAAACTCTTATTTCAATAAACCACCAGAAAACAAGAAGCGGCGTTGTAGCTCAAGTGGTAGAGCACTAGCCTTGAGCTGAAGATCTGAGGGACAGCACTCAGGCCCAGAGTTCAAGGCCCACGACCGACCAAAAAAAAGGTGATTTATTTGGTATCACAGAGCTAAGAAGTCCAGAAACTGAGATCCTAATGGAAGGCTGTTTAACCTCCAAACTCATGTCCATTCTAGTGTGGCACTTTCAGCTGAAAATGTTTTAACCAATGAGAAGTGCAGTTTGGTACTGTTTGGTCCAATATCTAGGTACAAAATAGATTGGTTAACTGCCACTGTTGTTTATAGTTTGAAGCCATCCCTGGCAGTTAACCAGAAAAATATTAGACTGTGAAACATGGTTCAGGTGGTAGAGTGCCAATTCTACCAATAGAGCTGAGGCAGCATTTAAGGTCCTCAGTTTAAGTCTAGTGCTGGTGCAAAAAAGTGTTCCATAAATAATCACAAGTAGAAGTTCAGTTCCTCCTCTGTACTTTTGGAGCAGTCAAGTTACCATAACAACATTGTATGTTAATGAGGCTTGAGGAGAAGTTTTTCCACTTCCGTTCTAAGTTTGTGACTTTGAACAATATGTTCCCATCTTTTAATTAAATAAACTATGACTTTCAAAAATAAAAAGGATTGAGAAACATGTGTCTGATTGCTAAGGTACTGGATTGTGTGTGTTTCCTCCCATTCTTAATGTTGAATTTTGATGAGGAACACTAAAGACTTTGTGGTTAAGGAGATTTTTTTGCTGCTATTTCCCTCCATGATTCGGAGCACTGACCAATTTCTGCGACTAAGGAGGCTCGGTACATTTTTTCAATCTTAGTGACATGTAATGACTGTTTATAGCCTTTTGTCCTAACTGGGTCACATCTGGGCAGCACGAGGGTGATGACGGGCAGAAGGAAGGCAGAAGGCAGGAGGTCCTAAGGGGGCCCGCCAACGTGATACTCACCAGACAAGCACAGTTATGTGGTATATTCGGGGGTCAGTTTTTTAAGAATGTGAACATTTAAGACATAAGCTATGTAAGAAAGGCTACATTGAGGCAGTAAGAATGTTATGAAAAGGTTGGAATTAGTCTACAGACTAATTTTATTTTGGTGCATTCTGGTTTTGATTGAACAGTACTATACCTCCTCTATTCCTAAATTTCTGTGTGGACTTGAACAAACGTTTTAAATCTTTCTGAGCTTCGATCTCCTCATCTGTGGAATGGGCATGTGAATATTTACTTTGAAATATAGACATAAAGGTAGATGGCCTGTGCAAGATGTTGGGAGCATAGTAAATAATCCATCTGTTTTGGTCTTGTTTCTTATAGGATTTCTATGGATGTAAGTGTTGGTATGACCACACTACACCCTTGGAGAACATTCAAAGTCATTCATTATCTAGAACTATATGAAATCATGGGAGTTCAGCGTCCTGGCTCCCTTTCTTCCACCATATGGCTTAATGGAGAGTAGTCTGGCACACTGATGCCAACTCAGTTGGAAGGTTGTGCGTTAGCTCTGCCTTGGTAGATATATAGTTCTAATTTAGGGCTATTATTACAACTCCAAGCTTTCATTCTATCATTTTTACACAGTGTAATCTACCCAAAGGATGTGCCCATGTTAGCAAAGTCATGACTCAAAAGAGGACAAAATCTTTTTGAGAAGATAAAGCCATACCTGAGACCATTGTCACACATTTGTCAGGGTAATGAACATACATTACTGATTACAAGTACTGGACAGAAATAGGAAGAAGTAAAATCACCATAATAAGAATTACAGAGTTTAAATAAAAATTTGTAGTCAGTCAGCTAAGGGAACAACCCAGACTGTCATCTATTACAGAGGTGCAAGGGCCATGGAGTTAACAGACTCTTCCGAGGGAGATACTCAATCTATAAATTTACTGACAATTACCAGATCATATCTAAAAAGGTATAGAACTTTGACCTACAACCTGTAGCAAACTTCCCAGAGATCAGTCCCTAAGAATTCTAACTGCTGCAATGTCAGATTTTCAGGAAGTCAGATTATCAGGTGTGGTGGAATTCCAGGAAGGTCAACAATAACTGTCACATACTGGACACATAGCTTTTCCACTGACTAGAAAAACTATGGCTAGTTTTCTACTAGATTAGTATTGGTTATGGGAGAGCCAAAACAGATTGTGGCCCCAGAATTTCATACTCACATGTGACATCTCACTTAGTAAATGTCAGCAAAAGCCCTTCTCAAATAGGCTGCTGGAACCAGCAGATTTGAGCCATCCTTGGGGGGAAAGCTGCAGAAGGACAAAATTTCTAACTCAATATGGACAATCCTAGAATGTATAAAAAATAAGGCTAAGCATTGTCTCTACTCTGACAAATTCAAACTCTGAGATTCAAAATCATAATAATATGTCTCATAACTTCTCCCTTCTGCTTCCACTCTAATTTTCAGATGAGGAAAAGTGTTTCTATTAGCATATATCAATTCCACAAAGGAATTTCGTTGTGATCTCTCCGTACATGCACATAATTCACTTAATCAAATTCATCCCTCTATTTCCCATTGTTATCCTCACCAGGTTTTTTCCCCACTTTAATGGGTTTCTTTGAAAAGCTGTTTCTTAAATATCATTCTTTTTTATTTCACAATCACTTGAGATATATTGCCTTCTAAGTACCACTACAACAATCATTTATGTTTCTCTGTTTTGCACAATTAGAATATTTATGCCAAAAGTATTACAAAATGTTCATCCCTTCATAATATCTGAGTTGCCTGGAGCCACATAAAAGCTACTATCAATGCCAAGGAATTTTAATAATAAATTTTTAGCCTTTCTACCACTCGTGACAAGTGATCTTAGTCATTATGCTTTTTTTGTTGGTGGTGGTCACGGGGCCTGAACTCTGGGCCTGGGCACCGTCCCGTCCCTCAGCTCTTCAGCTCAAGGCTAGTGCTCTACCGCTTGAGCCACAGCAATACTTCCTGCTTTTTCTGCTTATGTGGTGCTGAGGAATGGAACCCAGGGCCTCATGCATGCAAGGCAAGCTCTTTACTACCACTGAGCCACCTTCCCAGCCCCATTATGCTTTTTTAAAACAAGAAAAATAAACTTTTCATTTTCCATTGTTTTGAACATGTAATTCAGGGTTTTGTTCTCTAGCTTGTCTTCTCCCCTCTTTTATGAGCGTCATGGCAATGTAGTTCCTGCTATAAGCATCATTCACATGCACTCTAGGCTGAATACCACCCTCCATGTACCGCACCCCAACCAAACAGTATTACATTGGCCCAAATCCCCAGGTTATAGCCTAAATCCAAAAGAGTAAAGCTAGGTTGCTACCTCATCTCAATCTTTACCTGTTGTTTCAGAAACAGTAAGAGCTCATCCACCTTCTCTGTGAGACTTATAAGCATAGAAATCAGATTTATATGACACCCAAATATGTATATAAATATGTTGGCTAATTTGCCAACAATCCATTTGAAGAGTATTGAAAAGCCCTGAATAATTACGAATAATATCTCTAGTCTTCAGCTTATCATTTTGCTTCATTGTCATTCCCAGCATGCTCTGTCCTTTGGTAAACAAATGCTCAAAGACACAAACAAATTTAAAAAAACAAAACATTACCACCTGGCAATCAGGGAAGAATAAGGAAGTGAGCAGGAGCAGGTATAAAAAGTTCAACGAAATGTTGCTCATGTTACTGGTACACAGTAAAAGATCTTCCTTACAATTATTTATTATGCACCAGTAATGTGATTAACATCATACTTGTGAGCCAGGGAAATGAGAAGAGAGGAAAGGGGAGGGGAAGAGATAGGACAGGGAAAAGGAAAAAAAAGAAAAGAAGAAAGCAAAAGGGCATAAATAAAGATCTTAAAATGGCTTTTTTCCCCTACTTCAAATCATGTACCAATCTGAATTTTAGAGTATGGTAAAGAAGTTGAAGAAAAGTAAAAAAGAAAAGTCTATAAGATAAAAACAGAATTTCAGTCCAATGAGTGATGTCATTCATTTGAATTCTACCAATATTTCTAAAATAGCTGTTGATTATAAAATTAAAACTAACCCCCCAAGAGCTACATATCCCTCTCTTCAGAGATTTTTTTATTTTTTTTTTTGCCATCCAGAAGGGCTAGCTAGGTCAAGTACAAATCAGGTATTGTGGACGTTTCAAATAAAAAAATGCAAAAACTGAAAATTTCCTTCCAATATTCCATTAGGTAGTATGTCCTGCATTTGCAGTTTAATAGCATACACGATAGACTATAATTATGCATGAACAGCTTTTCACTTCCATCTTGTTATATTCAATTTTAATATAGATTCTTCACAAAAACTTGGCTTTTTTTTAATTGTGAAAATACCATACAGAGGGGTTACAATTACATGGGCAAGATAATGAGTACATTTCTTATCAAGCATTGTTACCTCCTCCTTTGTTTCCCCTTCTCATCCCTTCCCATCTGCACCCCCTGTTCCCCCATTACTGCCCCCCCCGCCAAAGTTGTAAAGTTTGTTTTTCAACATAACATCTTGTACATCTCATTGTTGCAATGGGTCCACCTGTATCCCTATTTAAACAATTTGTTTTTTCCCTTCCCCTCCACAAATTATACCAACATCAAATACAGTGAAAACAGGGGTTATACAGTGGGGGAAGGACATACAAAGCAACAAAAAAATTATCTTATAAATATGGTAGAAACAATCACAAGAATGAAAAAACATTTGAGTCTTAATCTTGGGGTTCATTTCACCTAACATCAACTGATCTGATTGTTTCTGCTTGTCTTAGACATATACTAGCAATTGCAAATAAGGGAAACCATGGGACCTATGTTTCTTTGGGCCTGGCTTACTTCACTTAATAGAATTTTTTCCGAGTCTTTCTGTTTCCTAAAAATAGGGCAATGTCATTCTTTCTGATGGAGGCATAGAATTCCATTGTGTATATATACCACATTTTCTTGATCCATTCATCTACTGAGGAGCATCTGGGTTGGTTCCATATCTTAGCTATGGTAAATAATGCTGCAATAAATATAGTTGTGCTGGTAGCTATAGTGTGGTCTTGTTTGTGATGATTTGGGAAATGCCCAAAAGTGGGAACGCTGGGTCATAAGGGAGCTCTAAGTGGAGTCTTTTGAGGAACCTCCATATTACTTTCCAAAGTGGCTGAACAAGTTTACACTCCCACCAACAATGCAGTAAAATTCCCTTCTGTCTACATCCCCTCCAGCATCTGTTGTTATTAGAATTCTTGATTATAGCCACTGATTTGCGTTTCTTTTATGGCTAGGGTGGTTGAGCATTTCTTCATGTGTCTATTGGCCATCCTTCTTTCCTCTTCAGAGAAGGTTCTCTTTAAGTCTTTAAAATTTCTGCATAATTCTGCTGTTTCACCAACTCAGTCCATTTCTCTTCCCAAATACACATACATGAATTTCCCAGTGAATTTCACTCAATTTTTCCAGCATCAAAAATAATACGCTCCTGTTTTCTCTCTTTTGCCAAGACAGGAAACATTTCCTGGAGATTAATCACTATTTTGTCTTGCAAAATTGGGAAGGTTGAGAGGAGTTAGTAGATTATATCATCTTTGAATTTGGAATTTCTGGAAAGGGTTCTCCACCATTTGGATGAGGGCAATGATGAGTCAGCTTGTCAGTGATCCAAACAAACATTATCTCTCTATAAAAGTTGGACTCCAGAATGTAGACCTTGAAGGAGGTAGGCAGAGAACAGGCATTAAGGCAACAGAGACCTGAGGCAAGCCAGTGGAAATGAAGAATCTTCCAGTCCTGCTGTTGCTGTGTGTGGGAGTTTGCTCTGGGTACCCATTGGATGGACCTTCAAGGGGTGAGGAAGGAAGCATGGACCTTGTTCAGGTAATGAAGGGATGAAGCCATCACTCCTGGGCAGGGCCCACTGGGAAACATCTCTGCCTACCATAAATCATACTGACTTATAATATGGGAATGGCTTCAGAGTAGTGAGTTATAAAATATCAGGTACGGAAATGGTTTTAATAGCCTATTCCCCAAGCTCCTCATTTTATGTAGGAAGAAACAAAGGTCATAAATATATGAGGAGGTTTTTCTTCCAAAATCACTCAGCATCACGGGAATAGCAGCATTGGGCAAAGCACAAGAATAACAAATGAAGAGTTTATGGATGTCTTTCTTTGGAACTTCTTTGGTTACTTTACCCCAATGTGGCATTTATAGTTCTGATGTTATGCTTATAAAAAGGAATTTATCCAACTTCTTTTTTGTAAGCCAGATCCTTGTGAGAAGTAGAAAGTGGAAAATTGAAGAAATTTGTCTAAGCTGTACAATAATATGCTCATAGAGGTTTACTGGTTTATTTTGTTTTCCACTCATAAAGACACTGGATATTTGTCTCAATTTCCCACTTCTTTCATTGCTTTAGTAGCAAATTCAAACTAAGTACAGGGGCCTTTAGTTATAAAGATAAAGCAAAGGCAAGAAAATCTGTCACTGAGAGATTAAATGAAATGGCATTTATTATTTCAGAAAACTAGAGAAATACTTTGAAAAGTGAGCAAATGTAGAAAATTTCTATAAGTAGTTATGGCCAAAGATTATTTTTAAAATGGCCTAAAAGCTATACTTTTTTTTTCATTAGCATTACCTAGAAAACTACTACAACCTTGAAAAAGATGCCAAACAATTTATTAAAAGAAAGGACAGTAGTCCTGTTGTTAAAAAAATCCAAGAAATGCAGAAGTTCCTGGGGCTGGAGGTGACAGGGAAGCTGGACTCCGACACAATGAGGATGATGGGCAGGCCCAGGTGTGGCGTTCCCGACGTTGGTCACTTTACCACCTTTCCTGGCACACCAAAGTGGCAGAAAAACCACCTCACCTACAGGTAATGGGGCAAAGGTTTTCTCAGAAGACTGTAACTTCATCATCTGTGTCACAGGAACCAATGCCACCTTTCTCGATTTTTCTCATCCAGGATTGTGAATTACACGCCAGATTTGCCAAGACAAGTGGTGGATTCTGCCATTGAGAAAGCTCTGAGAGTCTGGGCGGAGGTGACTCCACTCACATTCTCCAGGATGTATGAAGGAGAGGCTGACATCATGATATCCTTCGCCGTTAGAGGTAAAGAAGCAAAGCAAAAACGAACTCTCCTAAAGGAAATTCCACATTGATATGAAAATGGGTCAAAAGAGATCCTAATTCCCTATCTTTCTGGTGATTTTTCTTCTTATTAGAACATGGGGACTTCAGCCCTTTCGATGGACCTGGAATGGTTTTGGCTCACGCCTATGCCCCTGGGCCAGGGATTAATGGAGATGCTCACTTTGATGATGATGAGAGATGGGCAGATGATACAAGAGGTTGGTGTGGTACAGCTCAGAGAACGATGTAGTATCAATTTCCTTTTACATTTAGAAAACTCCTACTAACTCAGCACACTGAAGAAATTGTATGTTTTCTATTTTCTAATGGATCAGGAATCTATAGACAAGGTTTTATGTTAAACATTATTGGATGCACTTTCTTTTTTAATAAGTTTTTTATAGTGAAAATACTGTACAGAGGGGTTACAATCACATGAGCAAGGTAATGAGTACATTTCTTATCAAGCATTGTTGCCTCCTCCTTTGTTTTTCCCCTACCATCCCATCCCTCCCATCTCCACAACTACATTTCATCCCCCACCCCTCACCCCCCTCCTGGCCTAAATTGTAAAATTCGTTTTTCAACATAGCATCTTGTACATCTTATTGTTGTAATGGGTCCACCTGTATCCCTATTTAAACAATTTGTTTTTTCCCTTCCGCTCCCCAAATTATACCAACATCAAATACAGTGAAAACAGGGGTTATACCATGGGGGATAGTTTATTCCCTGTTCTGCTAATACCCAATATTAGAAAGATCATTAAATTATTTCTTTAACAATTTTGGACCTTGTGTGATCTAAGGGCCACTATTAGGTTAAAAAAAACAAGGTCTCATTATCACAAATTGCAGATATCCAAAGGATGATGGTATTGCAATACATTTTTACTAAAATACATCCCAGGTATTGTTTATGTAATTGCTACTTACACTTTAAAACAGAAATCAGAATTAAATTCTAAAATCTGGGGCTCTCTTGGTTTTTTTCTTTTATTCTGGCTAAGCTAACATTTTTGTGACTTCAAGGTTATGAAGAATTTTTAGGGATTTCTGAAGGAAAGAAACTAACCTCTGAGTACAATGAACTAACTGTTAGATAGAAGAGTGTTTCTTTTTTTCAGTTCATAATTTTAGGAATAGTTGCCAAAGTTTTCAAGAAGTTGGCTGAAATGAACAGTACTTCTTATGAGATTTGATTGGGATTTGCAATGAAAAGATACACAGAATATGTAGAAAACAAATGGGAGTTTCATGCTGGATGAAGTTTGTGGTTTGAGTTTACATCTTTCTGCAAAAGAACTTTCCCATAAAGACTCTTAGGGTCACAAGATACACAAGTAATACTTGCAAAAGTAGATTTGCTTTGTCAGCTGTAATTACCTAATGCCTTCCAATTTTAGAAAAGTATCTGAATACTGCTGGTGCTTGTATGTCAAAGCCTCTTTTATGACAAAGGTAGTCAGGATTGGGCATGTTGGGTTCTAAAGCAATCTTGCAAGTCCCATGACATCTATCACTGTTCATCTTTTTTGACTCAGTGTATGCATTAATGATGAGGAGGCTGAAATCATGCAGGCTACATTCCAGAGAAAGTAGCAGGGTCTTGGCTGCTTAAAGGTTTCAGATTGCAAACATTCCAACAGAAATCAGAAGGATTCTGTAGTTTAAGGATTTCAGAAGATAAATACCTTGTGATTTGTTTGAGATTGCCACTGAGAATAATAACATACTAGAATATTGTTTATCTTTTCACTGACAATAGAAGAGAAATATTTTTGATATTCTACCTAAGTAAGTTCAAAAAGTATACCTGGTTTTCCTGCACCGTCCACCTTTACAAAAGGTTGGAATAAGAGTTGAGTCATATGCTGCTCTGTATGTGTGTGGGTAGTTAAAGCTTACACTGGTGTTACTCTGGAAACATGATTGAAGCCTGCTTCAGCCTTCTGGTTTTCCTGCAGTTAAGAGGCACTTGGGGAGAGAGGGCCAGTTGAATATGACTGGGTACTTTCAAAGATGGATTGCAAGTATGAGTCTTAAAATACACTTGGCTTTCCGTTATGCAATCAGCCAAATTGCTCAAGGAAAAAACAAACACAGTGAGGGGGAAAAGGTCCTGTGTGGTTCCAGGAAGTGCATAAATACAATGTAGAACCGACCTGTGCAATGTACATTTATTTAAAGAATAAGAAACTATTATTTATGTTTTTTTCAGTAGGGACCAATTTATTCCTGGTTGCTGCTCATGAACTTGGCCACTCTCTGGGCCTCTTTCACTCGGCAAACAGTGAAGCTCTGATGTTTCCTGTCTACAAGTCGTTTACTGACCTGGCCACTTTCCGCCTTTCTCAGGATGACGTGAATGGCATCCAGTCTCTCTATGGTAGGTGATGCTGGGGAAAAAATAGGCATCAGAGCTTTCAAAGATGTCGCACAAAGTCTTAGTGATTGAGCTCATGACACCTTGAGAATGTCTGGCATTCTCCTAATGCATACCTCCTCCACCTGCTCCCTTTAGGGCCTTCCCTTTCCTCTCCAGAGGCCCCCCGGGTACCCAGCCCTCCGGAACCTGCCACACCAGCCAAGTGCGATCCTGCTCTGTCCTTTGATGCCGTCTGCACCCTGAGGGGAGAAATCTTGTTTTTTAAAGACAGGTCAGACTAGAAAATCTTATTTCTCTTTCCATTCTTTTGGTGTAAGACGTTAGAAAGGACTTAAACAGCAACTCATTTAGATCTGGTGCTACCCTTTCTATATTTTCATGAAACTATCATGACCTTTATGGGAGGGGGTCAAATCTGAGGTTTGAAATTGGGGTCTTGTGAGGCAGGCTGGTGATTTGCCACTTGAACCACTTTTCAGATAAGGTTGTGCATTGTTACCTGGCCTAGGCTAATTTGAACCACCATCCTCCTATTTACACCTCCTAAATAGCTGGGGTTATAGTCAGGAGCCACCAGCCACCATGCCCAGCCTGTCAAATTCATTTTAGAAGCCTCAGGATAATTTGACTCTTGTCTTTGAATTGTTTATCCCAAATGTCCTTAGTCACAGTTACTTATCAAAAAGATACAAGTAGAACTTTAGAATCAGAACTTTACTTCCTTTCAAAATGAGACCAGATCTATATGGCATTTAATCATTTGATTTACTTGCTGCTGCATAAACATACATGTGATTAAAAAAAAACCCTCACACTACATAGCACGGAGAAGACATATCTGTATCTTTCTAGGATTTGTACACAAAGTGTATATATACAGATTGCATGTGTGTGCATGTGTGTGTATATACATACACATGCACACACACACACACACACCGTCCACCTTGACAAAAGGTTGGAATAATAATTCAGTCATATGCTGTTCTGTATGTGTGTGGGTAGTTAAAGCTTACACTGGTGTTACTCTGGAAACAGGACTGAAGCCTGCTTCAGCCTTCTGAAAATAAATGGAAAGGTGATATCCTTATGACAGCATACCTGCTTTCTGTCTGTCACAATGTCAAGAAAATAAGAGGTCAGGAGAGCACGGGTGAAGCAGGTCTTTCAATCTGCATTTCTTTTGACATATATTTCAGGCATTTTTGGCGCCAGTCTCTCAGAACCACTGAGCCTGGATTTTACTTGATCTCTTCATTTTGGCCATCCCTTCCTTCAAGCATAGATGCTGCCTATGAAGTTGCTAGCAGGGACACTGTCTTCATTTTTAAAGGTAAATTGTCCTACCAAAAAAACCCTTCACAAAGAAAAGAAAGTAAGACTTTAATTTCTCAGCTATATCCAATTTTGACTACTAAGATCCTCAGTCCAAGATAATGAGGAAAGAAATAGGTACTGCTTCACTTATATTTTACAAATTGAAAAACAAACAGAATACGATGCGCAGAGTTGTAAATTCCCTCATTTGAACTTTCAATCTTCATGTTTTGTGTTCAATATTCATTAAGGAACCGGTGTCTAAATCTGAAGCTCCAGGAAAATTGAAAGTTCTAAAATGTACATCTAAAACTAAACTGCCTAGGTGTGGTAATTTCAAAATGACTTTGTTTTGAAACAGGCCGTCAGTTCTGGGCCATCCGAGGGCACGAGGCACAGGCTGGCTACCCAAGAAGCATCCACACGCTGGGGTTCCCAGCGACTGTGGAGAAAATTGACGCAGCCATTTCTGACAAGGAGAAGAAGAAAACATACTTCTTTGTGGAGGACAAATACTGGCGGTGAGTGGCAATACATCTAATGATGGAAATCAGCTCCTTTCTCTAGGAGCATTCTTCACTCTTTCTCCCAGTGTCCCTCTCAGTAGAAGGGAGGGCTGGGCTCTAGACAGCTGAGGGGAGTGCTTGCGTCCATGCAGTAACAGGCATTTCTTAAGTGCACCTGAGAGAATCTATGTCAACAGATGAGCATTTCCTGTGCTCTGCTCCCCGACTTACTGAAGCCCCTTTTTCTCCCTTCCACCCACTCAAATCCTGCCTGTTCCCCACGCCTGGCTTCAGTCTCACCACCTCCATGGGGTCTTCCTTTCTGAACTCCAAACCTAACTGCCTTTTCTTACCCTGCTCGGAAAATAACTTGGAGGATCCAGGCGCTCATTTTCGTCCTAGTGTCTACAAGTTGTTCTATTTTCTCACGGCACATGACTTCATTTAAGTTCATCCATAGGTTACTTCTTTTACTCTGTGCAGATTTGATGAGAAGAGGCAGTCCATGGAGCCAGGCTTCCCCAAGAAGATAGCCGAGCACTTCCCAGGGGTCGACTCTAAGGTGGATGCTGTCTTTGAACAATTTGGTAAGGGATATTTGGTCTGTTGGCACTTGTTCACTTAACATACTCCATGGTATGAGAAGGAAGAGAATTGAGTAACTGTTAATAACAGGGTTTTTAATTATAAAATCAAAATTTCAATTCATTACTTTTGAATCAGTTATACAACTACTTCAAATGAATTGTCATGGAACACAAGGATAAATAGCACAAATCTCTCTTTTATGCACACATATAAAGCCAAAATGTTCAGCTGCCACTCTTTCATACCTTGAGCCACCACCTTTCTTAATGTAGTATGGAAATCCCATCAGGGGAAGTAGCTGGGCCTATTCCTCACTCTCTGATCCTCTCTTCCATTCCATCCCATTCTGAATCCCCAAATTTGTGATTGACCATATCAGTCCATGGCAAATAATTGACTATTCTTGCAGCCAAAGTTAAGAGAAAAATAAGAGGAAGAGGTTTTTCTTTTAATGAAAAATAAGTGCTAGCTTCCTGAGTAGCTCATGCTCATCTAGTATGCAAGATATTTAAAATGCAAAGATGCGATACTAATTTGACAGCTTTTCTACTGATTCTCATTTATTACCAACCATTCCTCATCTTGTCCAGGTCCCCCATTTTATTGGCTTGGTAAGAGTTTGTTGGAACTTATGATGAGATTTTTTTTACTCCTTAACTTAGAATTAATCAATTGCCATGAACGTAATGTCTATGAAAGCTCCATTGCTCTGTATCTGGATTACCAATCATTCCATTCTCTCACTTTCTTCTTTAAAAGGAGAAAATGTCAATCTGTAACATGAAGCTTGTTAAGAATAAGGGGGAGGCCGGGTGTCAGTAGCTCATACCTGTAATCCTAGCTACTCAGGGGGCTGAGATCTGAGGATCGCAGTTCAAAGCCAGCCAGCCCAGGCAGGAAAGTCGAGGGACTCTTATCTCCAATAAACCACTCAGAAAACTGGAAGTGGTGCTGTGGCTCAAGTGGTAGAGTGCTCACCTTGAGCTGAAGAGCTGAGGGCTAACGCCCAGACCCAGAGTTCAAGCCCCACGACCGACCAAAAAAAAAAGAATGGGGGGGAGGGGGACTAGAGCTATGGAGTATGATTGTTTTAATCAATAAAAATTACTTTCTTGCCAGAAAAAAAATAAAAGTGAGTGGGAGCTGATGCTCTTTATTGAACGGTAACCTGGCAAGACGGGAGAGGACCCTCGGGTGTTCTTAAGAGCCTGGTTCCTTCTGTGGGGCCAGAAATACCCCTTAGGCTATTACACAGAAGATTGGCAGGAAGAACTTAACTTTGTGTTAGACAGAGCTGGACAGCACTTCAGTGCTTCCTTCCTCCCTCCTTCCCTCCCTCCCTTCCTTCCTTCCGCCTGTCCTTCCTTCCTCCTTCCCCTCCCCACTTCCTTCCTTGTTGAGTAAACCCACAAACATCTGAGTCCCTTGTTCATCGATGAAATGGAGTTGGATAGTATTGATGGTAACTCATCAATACATTTTTTTAAATCTTATAAAATGCTGAACATCGTGTTGGCACTGAGCAAAACTCTATAAACACTTCCTACTTTCAATGATCTCTTATTCTGAATTTGTAAGCTGCCAAATTTCTTCTTTTAGAAAAAGTTCTGTTTCTTGTCCCTATATTTGCAGGATTTTACTATTTCTTCAGTGGATCTTCACAGTTGGAGTTTGACCCAAATGCAAAGAAGGTGACTCATATTTTGAAGAGTAACAGCTGGTTCCATTGTTAGGAGAGATGTGTAGAAGGTAAAATGCGAGCATTTTAAATGAAGATAATGCTTCTTTGTGAAGTGGGTATTCTCTGGTGCCAGCTGCAGCAGATCTTCGTGGGTCTTGTCTGTCACATCACAATATTATAAAGCATTCCAGAGCACTGCTGCTTAGCCTGCACTTCATCATACAGAGCCTCCTATGTGAAGGGCTTGTGAGCAACAGATACATGATTGTATGGATACAGACTTGTTATTTAATAAAGATGATTTATTGCTTATTTCATTTTAGTGTTTTGTTGGCTTATATGTTTCAAGACCAAGTTACTGGCAAGAGGTAGCTCTGCCTGTTGGCTACATGATAGAGCCATAGACAGCCTGAGATGCATGGCCACTGGAGGTGACGTGTGAAAAATCATACTAATCCTTCTTCTTTCCTTGGACTTACATATCCCCCCGGTGGAACTCATCTCTGCCTGAGCAAGCAGCTCTCCTCACATTTACTCTATTCATATGTGAGATCTCCTCACGTCTACCCTCTATGACAACTTCCTGCTGTACTCCTTTTGAATCTGTCTGTATCTGGAGAGAAATGTCCATTGGAAAATGGCAATTATAAAACAGGGTTACCATCCCTAAGTGGTGTCTCTAGCACAATGCCTAGTACTGGGTAAGAGCTCATTTACTTTATAAATTTATCCATTCACTTGAGAAAAATTTATTCCTCATACCCCACAGACACCACTTCTGCATGGTCAGATCCCATCACCCTGCAAAGGAGAGTTACCAGGGTAAGAACTCACACATGAGGGTCTTCTGTGTCCACACGAATTATAACAACTATATAACAAGCCAGACAGTACAGATGTGACTCTTTCTCCCTCAAAAATGTGTCTTGGTGTGGCAATAATTTTTTGGGTCTGCCTGACCACTTGCTAAGTAGTGGGATTATACAGGAGCCCTTCTCTGGGGACTGTAGGTTGCGTATCTACCTCCAGCACTAGGGGGTGTCACAGAGCTCAATTTTGAGTGTGAGTGGAAGAGTGTAGTTAAAATGCCTTGGTTAGGTAGAAGAAAATTCAAACTGTGCATACAAAGGAAATGGCAGTTTTGAATTGCTTAAAAGTACAGGACCAACGCAGGTTTTAGGTTCAGTGTGAAAAGGATTCTGTTCCTTCACTCTGCTACTACCTTGATTTTGTTCTCTATACAATCATCTCCCACCAGGCTTTCCTCATAGCAGCAAAATCCCTAAGTAGGTCCAGGCATCAACCAACCAGGCAACCCCAGCCACCCATGAGAAGACAGCTCTGAGGCTCTTGTCTGTACCTTCTCTAACTAAGCATGTCATCACTGAGTCCCACCACCAGGCTGCAGAGGATTTCACCTGTTAGGGAGTGGAATAGAGGACAAGACACTGCAGCAGCAATCTGTCTAGCCACCACGAAGAGAAATTGGGGGTGGAGAGAGAAAGCAGTAGTGAGAAAGTTGGACTGAGGAGGAAGCACAATCATTTTCCTTGTGCTGGAAGACCTGATTCATAGTTCTTATACTTGGTTTTGCTTGATTGGACAAAAGGAACTAAACCATTTTTATTTAGTGAACAACTGTTTTGTATTAGAAACTGGACTACAGTCTGATACAGACTGTTCATTTACCCACATAATAGGAGTTGGGCTGGTGGTTTGCCTCAGTGTTGTACAAGTAGGAGTTTGGAGGGATCAGTAGCTTTGCTGTGGTGACACAGAAAATAGCCAGGTTCTAATCTTATATCATCCTGGTCTCAAAGATCTTGTTCTTATGTCTAGAGGAACACACAGTAAGTCAGCCTGGGTGGTCTTATCTGGTTTAGTTGTTACTCCATTCTGTAGTACAGGCCCTGCTACATCCTACATGGTCTCTATGCTGGATCTTCCTCAGTCCTGTAGCTTAAAATTCCTACAGCCCAAGGGCCAGTGTTCTAAATCACTGGTTTATGTAGAAGGAGATTATTGGTTAGCATTACTTAAAAATACAGGATCCAGGTAGGTTTTCATAGTGGATGTAATAAATAGTGGGGAATCTTCAACCTGCTACTATTTCTGTCTGTGAATCTCCCCTAAGCTTTCTTGTTCCAGAAGTCATGTCTGTGAGTGAGAGACAGAGGGTGCCTGTGTTCATGTGCTGTGAACATGTATGTCTGTGTGAATGCATATATGAAACCAAGGGTGATGCGGCGGGGGGGGATGTGAGATGTATTCACACATCTGTGAGTGTGGGTGTGCGTCTGTGTGCATGCACACATGTGTATCAAAGTATACGCATGTGAATGTGTGTGTGTGTGTGTGTGTGTTGCCCAGCCATTGGTCAGGGTTTGACTGACACCAACAGAAGCCACCTACCTGAGCCCAGGCTTGAGGACATGTCAAGCCAGAACCAGTCTGGTGGTGACGTGATGCTGATTCCCTGAATAATGTTTAATAGGTAATCAGCTCCTCTTGCCTTGGGCAGGTCTGGCCCTAGGTACATGATGTGCTTGCAGTTACAGGAAGAAATCCAGCGCATGAAGCTGGGAAGGGGGGGGGGGAAGCAGAAGCCAGGAATCCTTTTGTGGGTTGGTTAGTGGATGGGACATAGATGAGAAAATAAGAGATAAAGGGTTTTTTTTTATATAATACGCTGTTTTACGATCAGTCTGTTGTAGTGACCGCTGTATATTTATTTTGTCTGTTTCTAAGATGTTTGAAAAGCATAGGAGAACTTGACTTATTCAGTTCTTTGATTTATTCGATTAATAGGAGTTACTTAAGAACTTATGTATGTTCCATTTGTTAGATTTACGTCTGTATAGTAAATTTGAATTACCTGAAGAAAGAGTTATGTTAATATAAACATAGTATGAAGTACTCATGATAATGTTGTTTGTGAATGAAATAGCATTGAGTGAGAAAAGACTTCACATTTTAACTATATTGATCAATTAATTATTGAAGAGGTAGCAAAAGAGATACTTGCTTTTTTTTCAAGCACTACACAGAAAAACAAAATTAGAAAGTCAAACTTGAAGAGTAAAGTGTGGCTCAAGAGGTAGAGTGCTTACCTAGTACTGAGTTCAAACTAGTACTGAAACACAAAATGATCTTAAATTTGAAGTGTATGTTTAAGGAAATTATAATACAACTAAAGCTCAATAAGTAATCAAAAAGCAAATTCCTTGTCCATTAACAAATCCAACTGAAAGGCTGACATGTTTTATTAATCCTACCTTAACACAGAAGATAAATACTTTTTATGTACCTTCTTATTTAATTCTAGCCTATGAAGTGGACATTACTAACCTCATTCTATAAAAATGGCTAGTGTTCAGTGAGATCATACAATGTCACCATGTACATCTGGACAGACAGAGCCAGAGATCTAATTCATCTGACTTAACCCCAGGCTTATCTTTCATCCACTCAGCGCCCTCTCTACTTTTGAGTTGACATGAATCAACCTAGAAATGTGATTAACAATGAAAGGGTAGAGAAAGGAGAGATTGTTTGTGCTAAGACTAACTGAACTGGAAAAGAGATAGAAGAGGAGGTTAGCTCTTTGCAGCAAGCTGACAAAAAGAGTAGGTTGAGAGTGATTTAGAATAGATTATATACCATCCAACTGTTCCTCCAGTTTCTTTTTTTCTTTCTTTTTTTTTTTTTGGGTCCGGTCGTGGGGTTGAACTCTTGGCCTGGGTAATGTCCCTCAGCTCTTCAGTTCAAGGCTAGCGCTCTACCACTTGAGCCACAGTGCCATTTCCGGCTTATTTCTTTTTTGTTTATGTGGTGCTGAGGAATTGAACCCAGGGCCTCATGCATGCAAGGCAAGCACTCTAACACTGAGCCACCTTCCCAGCCCTCCTCCTGTTTCTTGCAAGTGAACTTCAATCATATCATGTTATCTTTTGACTTAAGAGAGGATAAAATGGTCCTGTAACTGCTCATATTCAAATTATATCCTTGTGGATGAGAGTCATAACCACAAGACCACAGTCCTCAGAAACTTAGGTCAAAATTATGCTCGGCTGAGGAAGGACAAAGACACTGATACCTTTTCTTGTGTCCCAGTGGTCAAGGTTGAACTAAGGATTGTGTGCTGTACCTAAAGTTTTGTTTCATTTTGTTTTGTGGGGTTTTTTTTCCACCCAAAGCTGGCATGCTACCACTTGAGGCACAGCCTCAATTCTAGCATAATTGGAGATAAGAGTCCCACAAACTTTCCTACCCAAGCTAGCTTCAAACCACAATCCTCAGATCTCAGCCTCCTGAGTAGCTAGAGTAACAGGTGTCAGGCACCTGTACCTGGCTACTTTCTACCCTTTTGAAGCTCCCAATTTAGGAATGATGTTGCTGATATGGAGATAAACATAAAGGGCAGAGAATAGACAATAAATATAGCAAATAAATACACTGTATCATACCTTTGATGGAGGAGATAAGCATTATAGAAAAGAGGAAAAGTAGAATGAGATAGGAGGATTACAACTACAGGTGAATATGGGGGTGCAATATTGAATAGTGTTATGGAAGTGAGTTTCACTAAGAAGAAAATGTCTGAACAAGGACTAGAGAAGGTGAGAGAGCTTGCCAACCATACTATGGGAACAGTCTTTCAGGCAGAGAAAACATCTAGAGTAATAACTCAAAGGTACATAGTGCCTGGGCTGTTCAAGGAACAATGGACTTTTGTTAAATGAATGAATGAATGAATGAGCTAGAGGAGAAAGTAAGGCTTATCCTAACGGTGGAGAAGCAAACATTAGAAGACAATAATTACAATACCTAGTGATTCAGCTTACAAAGTCCTTATTCGTTTTACAAAGTCAGCTGAATGACATCATGAATAACTGGGCTAGGCAGTATGATTTCCTTTTTGCAGATAACATTCAAGGTTCCAGATAACATCCACTCAGTGATTGTATCCACATTCTACCTACAATGTTTTAAATAAATAACCTGATCCCAGTGTCTAGTGCCTGAGTCATTTTCTCTCTATCAGGAACCAAATTTTCTATACCCAAGATTGTGCATGTCTGCATAGAGGTCAGAGACACCTCTATTCATGAATCGGCTCTATGCCTTACGTTCTGGGATAGGGGAACTCACACTTGATGGGTTATTCCCTGCTGGAGGACTACCCTGAATGTCAATGTCTGACAACCATTAAATGTCTAACACACCTTGTTTAGCCATAAAGCTACCTCATGGCCACAGATGGGAAGAATATA